TTATTCTCGTCTTTCACCTTATCTTATCTAGTGTTTTAGTCAGTTGGGTTTTACTAATTTGCATTTCTTTATATCATTATTCTTCTGCATTGCACACATGGTTACGTCACTCTCACGTGATGGCTAGCACGCCTTGATTTTAGGTCGGGGTGTATCATTGGTTCTATGTTTATTTTAACATGTGGTATCAGAGCAAGGTTTATAAGTTTATGAATTCTGCAATCAAAACCGATAGGTTCAAATAGCATGGATGATATTTAAAGAAAATATATATTTTGTTACGGGATTGGGGACTCGAACCCTAGGTCTTCTGGCATAAGGGTTTTCGAAACAAAATAAAAAATAAAAAATTTACCGTTAGATTTTCAAAAAAGCCTATGCGTAAGGGTTTCCTCTCCATTTGGGGCTTTTCGATTAAGATCACCATTCATCAAAACATGCTTCTTGGTAAAGATTACATCAACCAATATGATCGATTTGGATGACTATTCCATCATTGTCTGCTTGATGTTTCGATACAAGGATTGAGTCTCCAGATTCTGTTAAATCTTAAAACTATATGAATTAAATCCGATCGAAACTTCTGCTTAGGGAACTTAGACCATGAATGCTTAAACTTGTATTCATCTGCAATTACTTTGTTATCTGCAAATACTAATGAGTCAGTTTTTCTATGTATGCTTATCAACGATATGTTGCTAAGTCTATATGTATGAATCATTGGTGTGAATTGTGATGTGTAAACTGTAAAGGAAATCAGGAAAAATCAGGAACCTAACTGTGATTTCATCTGTAGCATCTGCAATATCTCTCAAGACCTTGAACTTAGCAAATATTCCAATTCTCGCTAGAGGGAGTAATTACAAGAAATTGAGGAAAGAAATAGGGCTATTATTGACCATCAATGAGTATGATATAGCCATTGATACTCCAAGACCAGTGATCACAAATCAAAGCACTAGAGCAAAAAATGGTGATTATGAAAGATGGACAAGAGCAAACAAAGTTGCACTTTCAATCCTTGAAAGTGGGATGGCTGATATAGTTCGAGGAGGGATTAAAAGACATGAGTTGGTTGCTGAATACCTAAGTGCGATTGAGAAGAAATTCAAGGAATCTGAGAAGGCTGAGATCAGTCAACACATGTCACTCTTGACAACCTACAAAATTGACAATGCTGGTTCAATTAGAGACCACATAATGAAGATGACTGATGCTGCATAAAAGTTAAACTCTATGGAAGTTAACATTGGTGGAAAGCAGTTGGTCTTCATGATCCTTCAAGTTCTCCCATACAAGTATTCTCAATTAAAGGTGTCATACAATGCTTAAGACAAAAGTTGGGATGTAGATGAGCTTAAAACAGCCCAGAAGATAAGTGGTAGTTAATAGAGGCAGGAGCAAACATGCATGGAGTTTGACATTCATGAGATGAAATGATAGGTTCATCAGTCTACTCCCCCACTAACTAATTAAGCTGTATGTTGACTAATTAAGAAGAATCAAGTAGTTAGGCTCCTTCCATCAGCTTCACCTACTACTATAAGTTCCAATAATTATAATATTAATCTATATGGCGCCAACAAAAAATTAATATGTAATACCTCATTCACAATGTACCATTAGTATTTAATGTGATATTCTGCATGCATTAGGAAGTTATCAAATTGAAATCCAAGTTGTTTTATATGTATAAGGTGAAAACCTGAAGCATGTTTGTGTTGTAAATAGTGTCTTTATTTAGGAATATGATTGTGTAAACTTAGTAGAATTCCAATAGGATTTGGAGATCAAATACTTTAATGATTTGTATTATTTGCAAGGCAAGAAAGCTCATCATGATTGGAATAAATAAAGCCCTTCTCTCTTTCTCTCTTTTATTTGCCGCACCCTCTCCTTACTCTCCATAAAGTATAAGTTTTACAAAACGTTATCGGCACAAATAGCTTTCAAAGTTGTGCATGGAGTTCTAGAGAAGAATTATCCCGGAGTTTTGCCATCTTCAAATTAAGGGGAGTATTAGTTAATTTCATATCATCCTTATTTTGTTTAAACTATTATTTTGTTTATTGAATTGATCTAGTTGTTAATTGATTCAATATTTCTTTCTCTATGCATATGCTGGAAAAGACAATATTTAGATTTGGAGAAGTTCCTTCAAGACCGGAGTTTTGCCACTCTAACCACGTAACCCTAACCTTAATTTATGTCTCCACACTAACCACTCATATCATAGATGCATACTTTACAAAGTATTCTTATGATTGGAAGTGTTCATATTTTATGTCATCATTCATAGATTATTCTTGTAAATTTTTATTCGATCAAATCGAAAATAGTTTAGCCCTTTAATTATAATTGTGAACATTTCATTGTTTATCGACAACCATATGTTTGTTTATTTATCAAGTCGCAGTTAGATTATTAAAAGATTTGCAATTTTTATAAATTTGTTGGGATGATTTTTCGATGATAATCTTAAAAATAATTGAGATTATGAAAAATATTGTAAATTGAGTCCAAATGAATGGTCTAATTTCAACTATTTTCAGTTTTTATTTATTCTTTGTTAGTGATAGAGGAAAATGGATAAAGAAAATGAGGAATGAAAATAGTGGATGAAGGATGGTGAAAGAGATGTAAAAGAAATTAACAATAACAGATATACAAAGTGAATTTAAAAAAAAGAAAAAAACCAGAACTATTTCAATTTGTTGTCACTTTTAAGATTTTGTTTTCATTCCGTCATCCCTTATGCCTCCATCATGCTTCCCTCTTCAAACAGAAGCGAAACAAAATTTAAAAACAAGTCATTTATTATCAAACGAACGCTTAATTTCTGAGTTGTTACATAAACACATGGTTCATGCAAAGGCCCCTCAAAGATATAAAGTCAAACACCACAACTTATTGAATTCCAGTTCCGTTCCGTTGAGGGATCATTAGACAATTTTATTTTAGGGATAATCACAATGAGGTTTATCAAATATCAACATATATATGAAAATTGATTATGATTTTAGGGTAATGCTATTTACACACCTATTTTTACATCTCACGTACCTTTATCAATTTTTGTCATTCATCTTCTTCATTTTATTCGATCGTACGATCGAAAATTGAAAAAAAATGTATAAGAGGTGAAAATGAATGTATGGATATCACCGCCTTTCATTCTATAGTTTTATTTGTCCCAACAAGTAGGCTAATATATATTGGAAAATTAGGGTGTGTACACGCAGAAGAGAGGCATAGTCTTTGGTCTTATCGCCTCTAAAGTCAGGAGAGAAGACCCGAAGAGCAATCCATAGTCCACATTTCCCTACGGTCATATTCGGCGGACAAAATTCAAAGCTCCAACGTCTTCACTCTTCTTCTTTACATCCCGTGTTCCAACTTCCACGTCCCGCTGAGACCGGGGACCCTACTAGGCTACTTTACATGCAAAGTCGTACACGGTGACACAACACCAAACACTATATATCGCATTTTCTATTTTTAGTCATTGACTAACATGATTTATGTCATAAAAACGTTTAAATTTGAAATTATACTACTTGTATATATATACCTAATGAGGAGAGAAGGGGTTTAAATTTGAATTATTCTACTTGTATATATACCTAATGAGGAGAGAAGGAGTCTTTCCCTTCCAAGCTTATATAGAAAAACGAGGGAGGAAAACAAGGAGCATTGCCAAAAAAGAAGTGTGAAAATTGATCATGGAAATGACGCGTTGAGCAGTGCATTCACCCCAATTTTTCACGACACTAGTAATGCTCTTCAATGTTACACTAAAAAGAAAAGCTATAGCTGTGCTCATGAAAAGGGGACTTACCAAAAATATGAAGAAATGAGGAAACTAAAGGATTCCTTAATGGAAGCTGGAAAGGAGCCATACACCTATAAAATTGGGTAGAATTTAGCACAAGGAAGGAGAGACACAACGTGGGAAAACAATATAAACAACATAGAGGGAAGGAATGAAAGCAAGATTGCACCACGCAGAGCACACTTTTCTCTTAGTGTATAAAACTCAATTTTTGAAGGGAGAATTCTCCTAACCTTCCAGGGATTCCTTCAAACTTCTCGTAGATTTCCCTAGCTACTACAAATATACACAGAACATTGAGAACCCTAGGTTAGCCATTCCCAAAACCATGCGAGCAAGCACTGAGTTCTCTCTCATGCTAAACCGATAAGTTTTTAGCTTCCACGCCACGCTTCGTTCAGGCAAGCCATAATTTATTGCAATCATTCAGTCTTTGAGCTATTAATTCAATTGGAATACTTCCTAAGACATACTAATTCTTTCTAAGTTACCGGAAACGAACCAGGTGAGCTAAGAGTTTCCGTCGAGGCCCAAATCCAACTCGATCAAAAAGTTCCCAACTACATCATCACCATTAATGTAAGCCGAATTTGAGACGACTCACTTACAAAGATAAATATTTCTAAACCATAGTACTAATTGATCACTTTGATATCGCGCATGCTTGTAGGCTCCACTACACTAGCATCAATTAACTCTTGATATAGCGTTATTTTACTTCTCATGTTATTCCCAATTGATTAACAAAACTACTACAACAAGAACACCGAATAAAATTAGCATATGAATTTTAGAAAATTAAGAAAAACACACACTTTGATTTATTTTTATCTATTGATTTTTATTTTAATGTAAAGAGGTACACAGTGCTGACTTTCCAAATACAAATCCCATCGTTCATGGGCATTAGTGGAATTTCGCCCTTCAATAACTGTAATTTCCCTCCTTATGCAAGCTGTTTCACGCGGATACAAACCCAATTTGACCAACGACTATGTAGTCGTATTTACATACACACCCCTGTCCCACCACTAACAAGTCAAAACGACCACGTCACCTTGGTCCTCAAAAACACTTCCAACCTCCACTTCCTCCCAAAACGCAATAAACTCAAAACCTGTCCGTCTGAAAAACTCTGGAGCAGCAAACACTCAAATCGCCGGCAAAAATGGCGAGGGAGCGCGACCACCTCTACATCACCGTCCCCAACCTCTTCCGCTGCCCCATCTCCATGGACGTCATGCGCTCCCCCGTCAGCCTCTGCACCGGCGTCACATACGACCGCGCCAGCATCCAGCACTGGCTCGAATCAGGCCACGACACCTGCCCCGCCACCATGCAGACTCTCCAATCCAAGGACGTCATCCCCAACCTCACTCTCCGCCGTCTAATCAACCTCTGGGCCCAGTCCCACGGCCCTTCCTCGCCGGCCTCCTCTCCCTCTCTCTCCTCCCAGCACCTGGCCTCCCTCGTCCAATTCCTCCAAAGCGATAACCAGAGCGAGAAATTCAGCCAAAATATCGTCCACTCGTTGTCGAGGGCGGCCGATTTCGCGAGGGGCAGCGACGAGAATCGGAGGTTTGTGGCGAGTTTCGACGGCTTCGTCACCACCATTGTCGGGGTTCTGAACAGAGAAGGCGTCGAAATCGAGGTCCTCGAATCAGTAATTAAGGTTTTGGATTCGATTTTTCCTCAGATCGGAGTCAACGAGCTATTGAGCCGATTAATGGTGAAGAGCAACGGCAATTTCCTCGCTTCGATTCGATTGGTGTTGCAGAAAGGCAGCCTGAGCTCGAAGATCGAATCCGTCAGGGTTTTGGATTCGATTGCGCTCGACGCGGAGTCGAAACGATTAATCGCAGAGAAAGAAGGCTTACTGTCCGTACTCAACGATCTATTGAGCTCGGAAACCGATCAGAACCTACACAGCGCCGTTTTCTCGTGCTTAGCATCCGTGTCCGTGACTCGGTCAATCAAAGCGGAGCTCGTCCAGTTCGGACTCGTCCGAGTCATTACGTCAACGCTGTTAAACCCGGACACCAACACTCCCCTGGCGGAGAAGTCTTTAAAGCTATTGTCCACGATTGCCACTTGCGCGGAGGGCCGGTCGGCGATCAGCGGGGAGGAGAAGTGCGCGGGGGCGGTGGCGGAGAGGCTGATGAAGGTGTCGAGGGGAGCGACGGAGGACGGCGTGGCGGTGCTGTGGAGCGTGTGCTGCATGTTGGGGGACAAGAGGGCGAGGGAGAGCGTGGCGGGAGGGAATGGGGTGGCGAAGGTGCTGTTGGTGATGCAGAGTGGGTATGGAGAGGGGCATTTTGTGAGGAGGATGTGTGGGGATTTGGTCAAAGTTTTGAGCGTCGGGTTGGGGTTGGGGTTGAGGTATGACACCAAGACTATACATATCATGCCTTGTTAGAAATTGTTGATGGTGATCATCTTCATCATTTATTTTTCTGGAAATTTTGAATTTGGATGCAAAATTTATACAAGCAAAAGGAAAAAAGGGAAAATTCTTTTAGTTTTTATAGTGTTTGATCATGATTGTGTCATTCATGTTGTATGATTAGAGGGGTTTGTGGGGACTTGTGAATCTGCAGAATTAGGTTGATTAGTTGGCTTAAATGATTTAAAGAAAAATAAATAAAGAAGTATATCTTGTTGCTGGTAGTGAGAATAGCCATCTCCCCATTTTTGTTACAATAAAAAGGGTGTGGTTATCATGGATTCAATCACTAGAAAATAAGAAGAATTGTGCCATTCATACACGCTCTTGTTAATTTTTGCCATTGATTTTTTTTTCCTCAATTTATTCGATTCGACAGCTTAAAATTGAAAAACGTGTGTAAGAAGTAAAAATAGATGTGTGGATGACTCTACCCAAATAAGAATAATGGGCAAGCTTTGCTATGATTTCAAGTACATAACTTGTTAACTAAGATAATGTAAAAGAAATTTATTATACATGTGAGCTAAGTTAGTTGTCGGCTCTTTTTACTTATACTCAATCAAATTTGTATAATTGTCATTTACAAGAAGAGCAACTCAAAAGCATAGTAGTGCCGCCACTGTAACGTCATATGTCTGTAATACAACGAATACATAAAAAATTTACACATAACGTTGTATAATTGGGACGAGACTGTCACAGTGTCAACGTTTCCATGCCATATAAGTCATTGGGCTGAGCTACGATGAGTTCTGCCGCAGTGAACGTTTGAAAATATGCATGCGTGTCAAACATGGCTTCTTTTCATATTCCCTGGCAAGGAAACGAAACTAGTAAATCCTAAAATTAGCCTTAAACAATTAACCCATCAGATTATGTAAAGTGTGTAGGAAAACATGTGGAATATGACCAATTCAGAACCTGAATTGTTCAACGCAACATCAATGAACCGCACGGCACGGTGCCGTCGGCACCCATTATTTTTCTTCCTCTTTTGAAAAAATAAAACGTCATTTCTTTCTCCTCGATGCTCCGTCAGTCATCAGATTATGATTCAGAAAATCAGTCATCACCAAAGACATTATTTCTTGCTACAAAACAAACAGGAACAAAATTTTGTAGCTGCCACTGTTTCCAGAGACTTGGAATATGGACTTCCTAGTGGAATGGAATATCTTCTTTCTCAACTTGAAATACATATGCAGGGTTAATGCCGTTACGAAAAATTAATCCCCTCGAAATCACACGAACAACTTAGACGAATGTCTGTAATTGTGCTATTTCTTTTTCTTCTTCTGCAGATTACTACAGTTTCTTTTGTTGTGCCGAAGTGTCAACCAAAAATGTGCAAGATGGTGTGTGGAACAAATAACAATTAGGCAAGTGATAAGGAGAACAAACCAAACAACACGAATACCCAAGATTTATATTCGTTCAGCGTTAACGAGCCTACATCCAGTTTGGAGGCTACGGAGTATTTAAAGAGAGCACTGACAAAGTGTTTCACTCAAGAACCTAAACCCCAAATACACCCAAGCTCACACACTCACAGAAGAAGGAGAAAAGTTGAAGCTTTTCTTTCTCTACAAATGTCAAATACTACTGGAGATCGATCCCTCAGCAGCTCACAATATTTCTGTCTTTCTGAAAGTTTGAACTCCAAATTGTGCGCGCTCTTCTTTTGAGCAACTCACAAATGAATCTCTCTCTCTCTCGCTCTCTCTTCCTCTCGGTGCAACTCTCAAGCGGTAAGGGAAGTGTGCAAAGGAAGCCAAATAAATGGGCAACTAGAAAACAACCACCAACAAAGTGATGTGGCAAAGTAAAACCCACTCACTAATTACTGTTCAATTAGAGCACTTAGTCAACAATCTACAACGGTCCAATAACGTAGTAACTTTTCCTTTTATTTCATGGTTGCACCTAACTTTTGTGTTAGATTGCTTACATACTCAAAAGGGATCAAACCATTCAGTAGCTCGCAAATGATAAAATCTGACGTTTCTCACATGCATGATGCACCCATATGAGATTTCATCATTCACATATATCACAAAGATTTCCCTCAATCAAAACCACAATCCGTATCAAATAACATTTCAATGAATCAAAGATGCACAATATTAACTTTTAACCATATTAATCAACCAATCTGATCACACATCAATAATAAAAATTATTCATAAACCATACTTTATAAATTATAAATAAACTCGCTAAAAATCCCGAGTGAGTCACCTAGACATCCATCGCCTTTCTAAATCAAACCACAAAGGTTCTCAAATCTTTAGTTAATATATACACTGAAAACCAAGCAGGACTATCCATGAAAGTAAACCGAGTAGGCAATGACCCCCAAATATGGGGTCCTTTTGCTTCGGGGGAAGAAGGGAACGAGTTAAGGTCTTCTGTCCCAATATTATATGTCCCCTCCCGTCCCAATCCTAACATCAATATTCATCATTCATGTTTCACATTTCAAGTTTCATCCGCAGTTAGTAAGTCAAGGCAATGCAACAAGATTTAAGATAGAAGTTAAGATTGAGGCTATTCATCATAGGGCTCTCTTATCTCTTCCTTCTCCGAGCTTGGGTTATGGGAAGAAGAAGAAAACAATAAGAAAGTATCTGCAACAATCAATTTTTGTTACGGGACAGCTCATGATGTTTATATCCATTTATTATGTGCTTCTCATCTAGCATTGGGTAGAACTCATACAATAATATGTCCTAACTTTACTGTATCTATTGTTTCATTTCTTCTGGAACAATCACACACTTTTTTTTTGTATTATGGATCTACATGTCAAGCCTACATTAAACAAAGGAGTTTTCATTTTAGTATTATAAATGTATATATTTTTCTGTCGGTATTACTTTTGGATATCAATACCATATATAGCAAATATTTTCAGTTCGATACAATTACCCGCCCATTAAGGTTTGGCACAAAAAATTAGCATAAAATTGGTTTGGTATAGTTGGTAAATGGTATGGTCCAGTAATATGGTAAAAACATTCACTCTACTATGATCTTGTAATATACATCTACAATATGTTTAGAAACACTTACACAAATCCTCGCCCCAACTTTATTAAAAATATTTTGAAAATTCGACCATTTAAAAAAAAAATTAATTATTTTTATTTATATTGAAGTATATGCTAAAATGAGTGTACAATATGTGAATTTTATATCTAATTGAAAAATGAGCAAAAGTAACTTGTATGGTAAGTATCTTGGAGTTAAAAAAAAAAAAGAAGGTGTAATTAATAAATCATTGAGACGTGTATGGAAAATAGAAATATTTTTGAAAAAGAAATTACTAAGTGGCTCTCATGATTTGTGAGTTTCGTACTAATTTTACATTCGAATTTTAGTTTTGACTCAAAAGTTTATGGTGTAAATAACCTAACATTGTTAACCATTGTAAAAATGTAATTAATAACCATAGACACTTAAGGGTGTAAATGAGGCGTGCCAAACTGAATACCAAAGTGCCCAAACTCGACTCAAATGATATTATTTGTGCTCAAGCTCGGCTTTAGAACAATAACAAAATGTTTGTTCTAGGACAACAATTTGCTGCCCCACGCCAAACTCCGACCACCCTATCAGGAAGCCCAGCTCGTGTTAAAGTTAATCATTTGCTTTTGTTGTTGTCTAACATGTCCTTTTATGTAATTTGAAATTCTTTGGATCTCTAATCTATTGCCACATGTATGGCTTAGATCTTTTGTAAAGGGCTGCCCAATTGCCTTAGCAACTGTCCCAAATACTAGGACATTTAATCCAAATAAAAAAAATATCTCTCTTTGTGAAAAAATAGTTCTCTATTTTGTTTGCCCTGTTGTTGCCTCTTACTTAAATCTCCATTTTTTCTCATTTTTATTCTAGTTTTATTAATGATGAAGATGGTCTGAATACCAACATGGTATCAGAGCCAATCTGATCAAAGAGTGGGGAATTTTTTTTATTCTCAAAAGGGGGAAAATTCTAAGTGAAACCCTAGAATCAAAATTTTCAAATTCATGGCTGGTTCAAGTAGTAGTGAAGAGATTCGAACTCCTATCTTCAGTGGAGTGAATTACGACTTATAAAGGACAAAGTTGAGAACAAGTTTTGTATCTCACGATTTGTGAAGCTTGATTGAAGATGGCTATGTGGTACCCCTAAGTACTGTAGCTTTGACAGAGGCTCAAACAAAGGAACTGAAGGAAAACATCAAGAGAGATGCAAAAGCTCTTGGGCTCATGCAAAATGCTATCTTAGATGAATTTTTTTTTTGGAATCTCGAACGAGACAAGTGCCAAATTAGCTTGGGATGTGCTTGAGAAAGTCTACAGAGGCTCTACTAAGGTAAAGGCTGTCAAACTCCAATCTTTGAGAAGAGATTTTGAGTACATAAGAATGAAAGATGATGAATTGCTAGATAATTACCTGAGTAGATTGTCTGAGATTATTAATCAAATGAAAAGTTATGGTGAAATCTTGTCTGATGAGAGAATAGTTCAGAAGTATCTAATCAGCTTGCCAAGAAAGTATGACAACATAGTTTCAATCATAGTGGAGACTAAGGATTTGTCAACTTTGAGTGTTGAAGAAATGATTGGTTCACTCAAAGGTTTTGCTCAAAGACTATCCAGGCATGACAACAATGATGTAGAAAATGCTTTCCAAATGCTTACAGTGAATCCAAAAACTGAAGTTAGTTCAAGTCAAAGCAAAGCCAAGCCCAACAAGAATTAGAAAGGAAAAAACAAAAAGTGGGAAGGAAAGGATAATTTTGAAGAGAAGAAAAGGTTGAGAAGAGTTAGTATGCTTCAAAGTGCAAAATTTGTGACGAAGCTCATTCTGGTGAATGTTGGTTCAAGGGAAAAGTGAAATGCCACAAGTGTATTAGATTCGGGCATATGCAAAAGGATTGTACCTATAAGAATAATTAGCTAGCTCACTACACATAAGCAGAA